CCAGCAGGTGTTGCATTTTATCACCAGCATGTTCTCACTATTATCTAAAGGGCGGCATGCAAGCAGAGCATCTCACATATACAGTGTACAATGTGGAAGGACTCTTGGTAGATACAACTGCCCACGCCTCTACTATGACATAGATGAAGAAAAGCAGAGCAAGAATTTTTTTGTTTAGGGAGTTTTATAATGCCAGTCCTGGGACTTGAACTCAGGCACTGGGCACTGTCTCTGAGTTTTTTTTGCTCAAGACTAGTGCTCTACCACTTGAACTACAGTTCCACTTCTTGATTTTGGGTGGTTAATGGGAGTTAAGAATCCCAGACTTTCCTGCCAAGGTTAGTTTAAGCACAGGCTTAAGACTGAAACTGAAATGTGATCCTCAGATCTCAACCTCCTGAGTAGCTAGGATTTAGAGGTATGAGCCTCCAATGTTCACAGCAAGCCCAAGACACATGGTAACCTAAGCTAAAAAAAAAGAAAAAAGAAAAAAAATAGTACAGGGCTGGGAACATGGCTTAGTGGTAGAGTGCTTGCCTAGCATGCATGAAGCCCTGGGTTCCATTCCTCAGTACCACATACACAGAAAAAGCCAGAAGTGGCATTGCTGTGGCTCAAGTGGTAGAGTGCTAGCCATGAGCGAAAGAAGCTCAGGGACAGTGCCCAGACCCTGAGTTCAAGACCCAGGACTGGCAAAAAAAATAGAAAGCTTTCTGCCTCAGCTGAATGCCAGTGAGGAACATCTGTACTCCAAGCTACTCAGGAGGCTAAAATCCAGAGAATTGAGGTTCAAAGTCAGCATGGGCAGAAAAGTACATGAAACTCAATCTCCAAAACTACCAGCAAAAAAGCAGGGATGGAAGCTCAACAAGCAGAGTAGCAGCTACGAGCAAAAAAGCAGTCATGTGCATTTCAGTGAGTCCTTCCATCCCTGGAAAAGATCAAAATATACAATGAAATGAAACACAACACACACACACACACACACACACACACACACACAAAGGGCAGATCACTGTGAAAATATTACATCTGAATATAAATATAATGAAATAATGTTATCTATTTCCTTGCATGATAAGACCTGCTAAAGTTACCTACTAAGCTGCTGCAAAAATCTAACATCTCAATTTGGAAAAGGATGAGAAAATTTTTTAATATGGGGCTGGGAAGGTGGCTCAGTGGTAGAGTGCTTGCCTTGCATGCATGAGGCCCTAGGTTCGATTCCTCAGCACCACATAAGCAGAAAAAGCTGGAAGTGGCACTATAGCTCAAGTGGTAAAGTGCTAGCCTTGAGCTGAAGAGCTGAGGGGCAGCGCCCAGGCCTAGAGTTCAGGCCCCACGACCGACAAAAAAAAAAAAAATTAATTTGCTACCGGGGTGAAAAAATTTGGCATACTACTAAAATAACAGCAGAACAATACTAACATCTATATTTAAGTCCAATTTACACTGGAGACTTTTAGAAATGATAAGAACATTCTAAAACTAGAAAAATAGTGAGACTCAAAAGATGACTTTCAAGAAGACAACTTTTACAAAAATCTCTGTCACAAAAGCAATGTCCAAACCTCCCCACTTCCCAACCTCCACTGGAACTTTTGGGGATACCCTCATTCACACTGCTTAGAGCTGCTGCTCCAAAAGGCACTTAGTGTGAGTCCCCTGACTAAGAAATGTTCTGCATGAAGTCATCACGATGTATCTTTAACTTATAATGCTCCCTTCTGCTGCCTATTTCTGCCTGTGTTAAACAACAGTCACAGTTCTTTTTTGACAAAGAACTCCAGCTAACTGCACTGACAGGTTAATGCAGCACATCTCACATGACAGCCTGAGACCCTCTGAGTTCGAGGAAGAAATAGGGCTGTTTTCCCACAGTGCCAATCTGACTTGACGGAAGTCATTTAGCACAATTTTCAAATTACAGAAAACATTAACATTTGTATGAACTTTCAAGATCTAAAAACACAAGTCCAAAAACCAACAACAGAACGAGACTTGGAAGTAATTCTGAGCTTGTCATGAGTCACTATGGACTTAGTCCCTCATTTTTCAGAAAAGCTCATTATCCTTGGCCACTAGGAAGTTTTCAGAAGAAAAGGTTAAGAAATACTGACATAAGGTACTGCAGATACAGGGAGAAAAAACTTCCAAAAGCCAAACAACATGGTCTGAGGAATCCAAACACAAACTGAAAATAATGTAAGTGGGCCATTTCTGCAGACACAGCACCAAGGACTTTATACAGACCATCCCGCTGTCGACATAGCAAGGCTAGGCAGTCAAGGCTGGCACAGCCTACTGCATGGAGATCGGAAGCACTGGGACTAACCCAAGGTAGCACCGAGTGACCCAGTGCCACAGGGGTCAAGCCTTTGCAGACTGCCTCCAGAACCCTCCCTCTCATTCACCACTGCATCAGGGGAGGGAGCTTCACCACTGTCCCCCAGGATGCCGAGTTTCCCCTGGGGCACTGCACTCCTCCTGCCAGCCAGGCGCTGGGTCCCGGGACTGTACTAGGTGGCTGAACAAGCAATCCATCTTGGGCCAACATTTTTTTAGTGACAGTAAAAAACAGACCTTAACATTTTCATCTCACAGATTAAGCAACATTCCATCTCAAAATAAATTGTATTTATGATAAGTTACACAAACTGGTCTTACAACTCACACAAGAATTTATTACTTTAAGAAAACTTCTGACTTAAGAGTTTACTTTCTGGCTGTTCTCTAATTCCTGACAGGCTAACAATATTACTTACTACTATACAGAATGTGTTACAATGTGATCACCTGAGCATCATTCAAGAATTGTGACATCAAATGGTTTCATCTACATGAGTAGGTAAACACTATGTTAATGACTCACAGCTATGCAAAATTCCATCAAGTTTTAAAGCAAAGCTGTGTGACTTAGTTAACATTAAATAAACAGTGAGTGTAACAAAATATCCAAAGATCACTCAGGCCAGGCCAGCTGTCAGAAGACTTGTCATCACTGTAGAATCTGCCTGACAAATGAACTGACTTCTCTCCAACTAAAAACAACCTAGACCTGAGAGACACGTTGGTGATAAGAGCCAATCTGCAGGTCATTGTCCTGCTCTAGGAAATGACTTACACCTTACTTTTAGTCTTTACAGATACACAACTGAGAACAACAAAGCATACTCACTTCAAGTGATGAAGACACATACCAAACTTTAGAGAACACAACTGCGAGGCACACTAAATGAAGAGGCGAAGTTTTTGTTTCATCAACAGTCCTTAAATTAAGCAAACTTGAAATATATATTGCACAGTCATTCATAATGACTTCCTAGAATTTAATTTAAGGTTTAGGAATGTAAAGTAACTTTTACTTGAAGACAGCAAGTCATGTAATTTTAGACACAGCTGAATATCTGATGGGAGGAAGGGACAAGTTTGCATGTTCTTGTGCAGGAAGCATGCTGTAAAGTTAAAATAATGCAGGAAAACAACATTATCTAGACCACTGAAATAAAATTAGCACTTCTTGCAGTAAAACGAAGAGATAGGACGTTCACGAAACAACAAAATCAAAGCCAGGGGCAGTTGCTCATGCCTATCACCCCAGTTACATGGGAGGCTGGGACTGGGAAGATCATGGTTCCAGACCAGCATCAGCAACATGTTGGCAAAACTATATCTAAAGTGGTGTAGCCTGTCATCCTAGATATGCTAGGAAGACTAAAATAGAAAGATCAAAGTCCAGGATGGGTCTGGGAAAGGCAAGAACCTATCTCAAAATAAGCAGTCCAAAACAGGTGATAGACAGTAACAGTCAACCCCCTGCCAAGCAAGTACAAGGCCCTGAATTCAAACTATAATACAAGAAAGGGGGTGAGGGAGGCAGAGAACAAGAGAAAGAGAACAAAGGAAGGGAGGGAGAGGAAGATGAAGACCAGAGGGGGAAGGTAAAGGATGGAGGGATAGAGGGAGAGAGGGAGGGAGGAAGGGAGGGGGAGGGAGAAAGGGAAGGAGGGAGGAAGGGGGAGGAAAGAAGGGAGGAAGGGAGAGGGAAAGCAAGCAAATTCATGTTATCCAAGAAAAGGGAAATCAGTCAAGCGGTTCCCATACTCTCTTGCCACAAAACAGGTACAAGTGAGGCGATCCCTAGCACTAAGAAGAGGAAGGAGTACAGGTGGAGACACACAGTCCTCCTCAAGCTCAGTGGGGATTGCAGCAAGAATTCTCAATCTTCCAACTGCTGTGCAATGGGAAATGCCATGACAAGGGAGCCAAGCCACCAAACCAGGGAAAAGTCTAATCTGGTATAATTCAAATGTCCACACTTGACACTTTGACTCAGAGCTCATTAAAATATAATACACACCCAGGTGCTGGTGGCTCATGCCTGTAATCCTAGCTACTCAGGAGGCTGAGATCTGAGGATCACAGTTCAACGTCAGCCTAAGTAGGAAAAGTCCGTGAGATTCTTATCTCCAATAAGCCACTCAGAAAACCAGAAGTGGTGCTGTGGTTCAAGTGATAGAGCACTAGCCTTGAGCTGAAGAGCTGAGGGACAGTGCCTAGGCCCAAAGTGCAAGTCCACTACTGACCAAAAAAAAAAAAACAACAAACACACATATGCATATAACCTATTGCAATTTGCTAAATTGTCAAATATTACTACTACCATATTTAGGAGAAATCCAGAAACAGACTTTCACTTTTTGGGGAACTTTGTACACAGAGCACCTTTTTGTATTAAAACAATTCATAGCCTTTAAAAATCTCATTATAACTTTTCATTTTCAAGAAGATGAGTGACTTTTGTAGCTCAGGAACAACTGCTGCTTGTATTAACAATGGATAATGATCAAGTCAGGTACATTCCAAATGGTACTACAGAGATACTTATATAAAAATGCAAACAAAAGGTCCTTGATAATCTTCAAGTGTTTTGAGTATCCTTCACAGAATGCAAAAGGAACACACATGCAGTTGTACCCTTTCCTGCTCACCCCGCTCACCTGGATGACTTTATAGAAATAGGCGTATTGTCGAGCAGTGTTTTTGTACTGGCTGAAGACATCGTGTATAGCTTGTGTCGACTGAAGACACCGAACTTCCTCTTCTTCAAAGTAAAGAGGGGTGTCATACTCGCTGGGGAGAGTCTGAATGTAGGGCTGCCAGAAAGAGTTGGGGTTGGCTCGCTCACACAGCAGGTGAAAGGCCAACGTGATATTTCCCATGGCCTGAAGAATTCGGTCTTGAGAATATAGGGGCCCTGAATTAACCCAGAAATTAGCAGTATGAGTTCCACACTTACGTAAAATGCAGCATTCAAAATATGTATTAAAAACATAGAAATAAGTATAAAAGGTCTTGTGACATTTAAGTTCATGTACATCTTTCTCTGGACATAAAATAGGAAACATTTAATGAGGATTTGAGGAACTAGATATGGAATTTTAGCTGGGTCCCAGTGGCTCATGCCTGTAATCCTGGCTACTCAGGAAGCTGAGCCTAAGGATTGTTGTTCTAAGCCAGTCTGGGCAGAAAGTCCTTAAGACTATTATCTCCAACTAACCAGCAAAATGCTGGTGTGGAAGTGTGACTTGAGTAGTACAGTATTAGCCATAAAGAGTCACATGAAGGAAAGCTCAAGTCCCTGAGTGTGAGCTCCAGTACTAGAACCAAAAAAAAAAGTAATTTTTATACTTTTATCATTTGCACATTTCCTTAAACAGCCAATAGTAAGTATTCTCACCCAATACTGAATTTTTAGCAGATTCGACCGTCATTAGTAATTTTCGTGGAACCCATAAAAATAACTCTTCTGCCTAGGGGAAAAAAATAGAAAAGCAGCAAAATCATCAGAACATGTCAATTTTCAATCCAACTGTATCTATGGCTGGTGATGCAATGACAGATGTGGAATACAACCTAAGTTTACATGTCAGCATTTCTTTCCTAAGTATCAGATGTAAGTGCAGAAGCATAGTTTACATCCTATTTCCTAGAAAACTCAGAAATCACATATGCTAAAGAACTATACTGAGAATGCAAGTAATCAAAATAGGGACTTTCAACTTTAACTTGAAGCAAATATAACATCTGGAATAGAGTACAAAGGGTGTTTACTATTTGCTATACTCATATTTTTCAGCTCTATTTTTCACTCTGTCAACGTGACTTGCTCATACTGCTGAGTGAGACCTGCCAGAGCAGCACTGCTTCTTCTACACATGTCTCCAAAGCACAACAGTTACCAGTAAAGGTGCAAGGTACTGCTCACCAGTTTTGTTCCAAGTACACTCTCCCTTGGGGTAATATGAGAAGCATAATGAGGTAATAATTGGATGTGCTCTGTGTGTTTATCTATATTGCTTAATAGATAAACACAGCTTTTCACCATGTAAGAATACAGCAAGAAGAGTGGTGTCTACAAATTAGGAAAAAGCTTCACTGGAGCCAAGTGGCACCACTTCACATTAATCTTGTACTTTCCAGTGTCCCAGATAGTGAGGAAGACAGGTCCCCTAAAATAGCAATATTCCAGGTAGCACCTATACTAATGAAGATTCTCATTTGATTGTCTTTGCCAATGTCTACTATGTGAATCATTTTCTGTCTCTTAACCCTTACTATAGATTATAAGCAGCATGAAGGAAGAAACCTGCATTTTGAGGTTTGGGGTGGTTTTTTTCTTTAATCTGATATAATGAAGCAGATATTTAATAGGTACCTGGTGTTCTAGTATATGGTTTTATCCCTATATCAATAAAAGGTTAATTACAGCTTTACCAGAAATGCTACTGGAGGTTTGAGTGTGCTCAAACCATAACAACCATTTCCTCAGTCAGTTATGAACTGACTGAGTGACAGAAGAATACAACAGATGGTCACCTAAAATACCATCAGTGAAGTTCCAGAAGTAGACAACTAGACTCCCCCACCTAGTTACAGGCAGCCTTGACTCCCTATAGGCCTCCTTGTGTGGGCCTGCCCTGCAAAGCTTCAATGTAGAGGGCACAGAACAGAATGAATGCCCAGGGAAACCAGCTCCCACTAAAAAACTGGCCAAGCCCAGTGCCTTCTCCAAAACTTGCAAACAGACTAAATTAGCCTCTTCTTAGGGAGGATAGGAGTTGGGGGGTGGGGGCAGGCTAGGAATGTTGAGTTACTGCTACTTTCTTCATTCTGGAAGAGCTGAGCATGGAGAAAAGCATCTTCCCCTAAGCAAATACCTACTTACCCTCTCCTCTGCCTATTACCCCTGGTGCAGCCACTTATGTGAGTTTTCAGTTATCCAGAATAGTTATCCAGTTCAGTTATCCAGCGGGTTCTGGATAACTGAACCCTCAACATGACCCATCCTCCACCGCCAACCCCACCTCTAAGACCCTACACCACAAGATCCTACCACAAGTCCTTAGGTAAATCTTTGAAAATCCTATGAGTCCTAGTCCCAGTCTTCTAACAGAGGTGTGGAAATGAAAACTGACTGCCCCAAGGAAGGGTAAATTGCATAGCTCACTGGAAGGGCAAACAGCAAGGGGGGTACCCCAAATCCAGGGCTAGCTCTTCCAGGCCTACTCGGGTGAAGGGACCACTTACTTTAAAGAGAGGGTGCTGCCTATTTCTCCACAAGGCTCTGGACAAGCCCAAATCATCACATCACAGTTCATATACTCTATTTGGTGAGGGTTTTTTTGTTTTTTGGGTTTTTTTGGAACCGGTCCTGGGGCTTGAACTCTGGGCCTGGGTGCTGACCCTGAGCTTTTTTTGCTCAAGGCTATCACTCTACCACTTGAGCCACAGCTCCACTTCAGGCCTTTTTTGTTTTCCAGGGCTTTCCTGCCAGGGCTGGGTTTGAACTGTGATCCTCAGACCTCAGCCTCCTGAGCAGCTAGGATTACAGGCATGAGGCACCAGCATCCAGCTTCACACACTCTTAAGATCACCTCAGACCAAAAGTTTTTAAACTCACCTTGATGTCTCTTGTTGCTTTCAAACCAAAGCCCTCTTCTTCGAAGTTAACCATTTCAAAACCCTCGACAGAAGCCCCATTTTCAGAGGCCCATTTCATTAGATCAGGAAAGTAATCTTCTCTTTTTCCATCAAAAGTAACAGACAGACCTATATTGTCCATGTTTAGAAAATAAGAGCTACTTTTAGGACACATTATCAATCACATGGCTCTCAGAAAATAAAAGCAGAGCTCATTCACTGGCTCTAGTCTTAACACTCCTATCTTGAAACAGTCAAAATTAACCATCAGATACTCATGATACACATCTCAAAAAAAGAATCGTACATCCTCTGTCGGTTACAGAGAAATGCATTCTAGTGCGAGGCAATATTGAATGGGAGGTATTATTAAGTGATAGGACAGCGAAGTTGGAGAAGAGCCTCAGTTGCCCTGACTGTAAGTTGCTTAGGACTGCGCAGGCTCCCGCTCAAATGTTTAACATGCCATCCCTTACAATCACACAAGCCTTAACAAGTCAGACCTGGAGAAAAAGGAAACTCTGCAGTCTGACTCTAAAAGCAGCACACTTCAGGGCTCCAACATAGACCACTGCAGAGCAACTTAAATGAGTGAGACTTCCAGGTGACAATACAAATAAAATATTAAGGAGAAAAAATGCAATCTAATTTTTCAATTTTTTTTTTTTTTTTGGTCTGGTCGTGGGCCTGAACTATGGGCCTGGGCGCTGTCCCTCAGCACTTCAGCTCAAGGCTAGCACTCTACCACTTGAGCCAGAGCGCCACTTCCGGCTTTCTTTTTCTGCTTACAAGGTGCTGAGGAATCAAACCCAGGGCTCATGCATGCAAGGCAAGCACTCTACCACTGAGCCACCTTCCCAGCCCTAATTTTTAAAATGTTTTAAAGACACTTTTTAAAAAGTTTAAAAAGTGTACCAATTAATTTTGTAAAAGACCAATTACAACTGTCTCTCACTGTATTTGTAGTCTTGCAAGGCTATAGATGGAGACAAATGTATTTCAAGAGGGCTGAGACGGAATGGGAGAGCAGTGTAAAGCTACAGCTGTTATCTGTAATGTTTTCTTTTTTTTTTTTTTTTGCCAGTCATGGTGCCTGAACTCTGGGCCTGGGCGCTGTCCCTCAGCTCTTCAGCTCAAGGCTAGTGCTCTACCACTTGAGCCACAGCGCCACTTCCAGCTTTTTCTGCTTATGTGGTGCTGAGGAATCGAACCCAGGGCCTGATGCATGCAAGGCAAGCACTCTACCACTGAGCTACCTTCCCAGCCCCAATGTTTTATTTCTTAAATACAAAAATAGAACAAAGGGTAAAGGGAAGCTGAAAGGGAAACAGATGAACAGGTGGGAAAGAAAAAAGAAGGACCTGAACCAACACATTTTGACATGTGCTCTCCATCTAGGTAGTAGATACCCAGGCATCTGTTGTATTATTTTCTGAACTTTTCTGCATGTTCAAGTAACACAAAAAGATAAGTCATTCATTGGAAAAACCATCCCATTTTGAGTGAATAAAAAGAGGAAAGAGCAAAACTGTGCAAATATGAGGAGCCAGGCATGGAATGTAGCCCTGTGCCTGTAAAGTTGCTCGACACCACTGTGCCATGCCAGCCCTGCACAGGCTCTCACTGCTAAGGAAGTCAAATGACTTGGTATTCCAAGCCAGAATGTATTCTTCCCTCAAAGAGACTGGTGATTGTTCTAACTTCAGTATTAGCTGCAGTGAACAGTATCTGCTCAGAAAACAAACTGTGCATACTAAGATTTTTTGGCTACCTATTTGGTAGAAGTCAACACATCAGAAAGGAACTTTTACTACCTCGAGTCTGATGCCATTGAAGTTAAAGACTACATGTTTACAGGTGTGTACAGTAGAGCACTAAAACTGTTTCTTAAAACAGAAAGAAAACAACCCTCCTTTACACAATGACAAGAAAGTCTAAATGTTTTCTAAAGGTTTTTCTCATGCCTTCCAATACATGCCCTTCTATCTTCCATGCAGCTCTGCATACCAATCATTACTTTTTATGCTTTAAAGAACAAAAACAATAGGTATATTGAAAAAGCTTTTTCAAACTAACACTTAGCCCAAACTTGGCCAGCCTGGCTGAGAATTTTAAGATGACTACTGAATACACCCAGTAAAAACACAGCTTAAGGGCTGGAAAGTAACTCAGTGGTAAAGCACTTGCCTAGTATGTGCAAGGTTTTGTATTTGATCTCCAGCACTAGAGAAAAAAACAAAGCAAACAAAAGCAAAAAAAAACCCACATTACTTAAATCAAGATGTGTGATGTGTTGGAGTTAATCATTAACATCTAATAATTAATCAGTCAGCATGTATTTGTGTTGGCACCATATAGTAATATACACTATCCTAAAACACCAAAGGAAAATTCCTAAAATTTTATTCATAAGTTTTAAAAAGCTACGTCATTGTAGTCTACAGACACAAACATCTTTGACCTCTAATTTCAGTGTTTTTACCCTTTGCTCTCAGAAGCAGGGGCAGTCCTGAAAGTCTCCCAGTGCCCTCTCTCCTGGTGTCTAGAACCTTTCTAAAGATGGTGATAATGACCTGAGGCCTCTACCATCCCAACACCCTCTGGCCCATGCTGAGCCCATGACATGGTTAAAAGATGATTATCACTGTAATGATGTTACCTTTTTGCTTTTTTCGTATTTTCTCAACCAGAGACCGGATCTGTACATACTCTTCCCATTCTTTTCCCGGGCCAGGTGCAGGACTGCTACATTCTATAACGAAAGAGGTATGACACGAAAAATTCATCTCCTTTAACTTAGCCCACTAATTTTACAAGGAAGGGTCAGCTTGTATTTACCTTAGCTGTGATCCTATGCATGACTTACAAAGTAGACAAACCTAAGAACTCCCCCACACTAAATAAACTGTGATTCAGTGCTCTATGTGCACACACCATACTGACTCAGCAGGACTCTTCTGTTCTAATACCTTTACTCAGAATACCTCTATAAACAGGTAGAATCTTCTAAAAAAAAGTTGTCTCCTGCACTCTTCTAAATGGTAAAAAGAAGGTAATGCTAGCCAGGCACTAGTGGCTCACTCCTCTAATACTACCTACTCAGAAGGCTGAGATCTGAGGATCACAGTTCGAAGCCAGACCAGGCAGGAATATCCATGAAACTCTTACCTACAATTAACAACAACAACAACAAAAAAAAAAAAATCAGAGACTCTTATTTTTAAGTGCCTTCAAGTGATCTGTGAAAATGGTTTTGCTCCTCCCTCTCTCTCCCAGTTCTAGGGCTTGAACTTGGCCTGGGCACTGTCCCTGAGCTTCTGTTGCTCAAGGCTAGCACTCTAACACTTGAGCCACAGTGCCACTTTCAGCTTTTTCTGTTTATGTAATACTGAGATGAATAGAACCCATGGCTCCATGCATGCTAGGCAAGCACTCTTATCATTAAACCTGGTTTGCTACTCTCTTGACAAAGAAATCCCCACAAAATTATCCAAGGCAAGAGGTTCAAACCTGTGTTCACTTTAAGAACACCAGAAAAACAGCCCAGGCCATCAAAGGTATGCATATCTGAAAAGCTACTAAGTATATGAAAGATGTCTCTCTCTTTTTTTTTTTTGTCTGTCGTGGGACTTGAACTCTGGGCTTGGGCGCCATCCCTGTGCTCTTCAGCTCAAGGAAAGCGCTCTACCGCTTGAGCCACAGCACCACTTCCGGTTTTCTAGTGGTTTATTGGAGATAAGAGTCTCATAGACTTTCCTGCCCAGGCTGGTTTTGAACCGCGATCCTCAGATCTCAGACTCCTGAGTAGCTAGGATTACAGGCACCCCGCTTTAAAGATGTCTCTTTAAAGAAGCAACATGTACTGTTCCGGCATTACATGGTGGAGCTGGCAGGTGTGCCCAGGCAAAAAGTGGGGCTGGACACAGAGTGAGTGGCCTACAAAGAGTGCTGAATTTATGCTCCATATGCTTAAGAATGCAGATAGTAATGGTGAACTGCAGGGTGTAGATGTAAACTCTCTGGTCACTGAACACATCCAGGTGAACAAAGCAATCAAGATGTGCTGCCGAACTTACAAAGCTCATGGTTGGATTAACCCATACATGAGCTCCCCTGGCCACATACTGAAAAGGATCAAATTGTTCCTAAACTGGAAGAGGAGGCTGCAAAGAAGAAAATGGTATCCTAGAAGAAACTGAAGAAACAAAGTTCTTGACATGGAATGAATTTAGCATAAAATAAATGGAAATAAAGGGAGGAAAAAAAGCTCAGAGGCAGTACCTAGGCCAAGTTCAACCCAAGGATAAGCACCAAAAAAATACAAAGAAGAAGGAGGAAGAGGAGGAAGAGGAGGAAGAGGAGGAGGAGGAGGAAGAGGAGGAGGAGGAAGAGGTGGAGGTGCTGGTAGGGGTGGGGGTGAGGGTGGGGGTGGGAGTAGGGGTAGGGGTGGGAGTGGGGGGGAGTGGTAATGCTTGCAGAAGTCAGCCTACCTTTCTAGCTAAGCCCCATTAAGAGTGACTCCCTGAGGGAAGCCAATTAAGCAGGACAAGAGGACAATCATTTGACATTTCATATATACAGTATTCTATTAAGCACTACTCTGGAAGTTATAAAAGAGGAGGCATAAGTACTACTCACAAAAGATTCTGCTGTTAGAGCTGACCTGCAAGACCAATTCCCCTGCCTGGAGCTGGTCACGTTGGAAGGGTGCACACTGACATCCTGTCTACCAGCAACATTTCCTTCATAATCTAACAGTTTAAAGAAAGAGGCCCCTTTCCCATGCTCATGCCAAACCTACTGCCTGCCCCTGCTTCATTCATGGGGTCAATATCCATTTAGATATTTGTAACGTCATTAGAGTTCCACACCAAATCATTGATACAGATAGCTGGCCACGGGCAGTGGTGAGAAGCATCCACGTCTGTCTCATCACATACCAAATGATTTCTTGGACCTTACCCTCACCTACTAAGGAGAAGAGTACATATGAATATGACAAACAATTAACATGACTCCTAACTATTAAGGTTGACTAGTCTTACTTCATTCTTTCCTCACCAAGCAATGACTGAGGTCCTGTAGTACAATGGTAAAGAAGATAGGAGCCTGGCCAAAAGCTGCCTTCAGGCTAGTGAGGAGAACAGGTAATAGCCTGGCACACAGGGGCCTGCAAGACTCATGAGAACCCTTGAAGAGGGACCTGACTCGGGTTTCGCTGTGGCTTTGTTTCTGTCAGGGAGGAAAAGCTAAGTTCTTATTTGAGGTTTAACTGTCACATAATCTAAATGTAAGGAGTGATCATAGTTAAATCTTAGGCACCTGTAACACCAATTTAAATTCACAATTTAAAAGTTATCAAGTTATACTAGCTTACAAAAGCAACAACAGGCACTTAAGGTATTTCATTTCCCTGAACCATGAACCCTCAGACTTGAGCATGTGAAAACCGAAATGCCATTACATAATTGCTGAAAGGTGCCAGGTTTGGGCAGGGCTGCTCCCTGGGAGGCATGCTGGGCTTGCCTGGGGCTGAGAGCCTTGTGATACATCTTCACATGCCCAAGTTCATGAGGTCCCTGTCACACTCCTAGAAGCAGTGATCTGTGTTTGCTGATAAGAATACTGAGCCTCTATACTTTCTCAATGCTAAACTGCTAAAAGGTAATGAGCTTTTTTCTGCTCCTGGGTGCCCTTGGAGGACCAAGTTCATGGCTAAAACACAGAAGTTCTACATTTGACACCAGTATCTCCATCCTTCTAGATGGGACTGCAAATTAGAGAAGTTTTCCAACTGCCAGGTCATGTGGCTACTAAGCCAGGAGTGAAACATGAGCTGGTCTGATGTACATTCCTGTCCCAGGGAAGCCAGCAGTCAGCACTGGACATGGAAGGGGAGGCAAGCCACTGTTACCACATGCGACAGGACAGCAGAGGGCCACTTACTCTGCAACAGCTCACTGGTCAGGTTCAAGATTTCTTTCGGTGACACAGTGGCTGTAGCCCCAGTGCCTGACTTCTGAGTTTTCACTCGACTCTTCTTACCCATTTTCTGACTACAAGAAAGAAAAGGAGAAAAAAAATTACATTATCAAAGCAGAAAATTAAAAAACAATAGGCACAGCAATCTCTTCACCTGGAGATGCTAAGATCTTACCTCACATCTGGAATGTCCAGAAATTTCCTTCCAGAAATAGAAATGTGTAATATTACTATTTGGAGCCACGCACACAGGAAAAATAACCTGAAGTAGTTCAAGAAGAAATATTCATTCCATTTCACCTACAAAAAACTATACTAGATGCAACTTTTACTCTAGAACTTATACAGATTTTTATAAATTTTACTTTTTTGTAAAGATGCTGTACAGAAGGGTTACAGTTACATGAGTAAGGTAATCAGTACATTTCTTGTTGAGCATTGTTACTCCCTCCTTTGTTGTTCTCCCACTATCCCTTTCCTCCTCCAATTATACAAATTTTAAACAAGCACACAGTAACACTTAATTCCATCATGCCATTATGGATAATAATAATGTATACACCAAAGACAGCACAATATGACAAGTGCAGAAACAACATATACCCTCTGTAACTTTTCTTTAAAAGAATCATTTCCCAGTAACAATGACAGTATTATAAATGACAGATTATAGTCTGTCTGGAGAAATGTTGAAGACATTTTAGAGCTCAATGAAACCTCAGACAGCTATTATTTTTAGGTGTGTGTGCCAATCCTGGGACTTGAACTCAGGGTCTGGGCACTGTCCCTTAAACATTTTTGCTTAAGGCTAGTGCTCTACCATTTAAACCACAGATCTACTTCCAGCTTTTTTTTTGGTACTAAATTGGAGATAAGAGTGTCCCATGGACTTTCCTGCCTGGGCTGGCTTTGAATCATGATCTTCAGATCTCAGCCTCTTGAATAACTAGGATTCCACATGTGAACCACCAGCACCTGACCAGACAGCTATTCTAAGTCCTGTATTTTATTCCACAGAAAAATCTAAATTGCCTTTCCCAGGGTTTCACAGGAAGTCATGAAGACTCTAGACTTGCACAAGTTCTCCTATTGTCTTGCAGTATGACACTTCACCCAGCTATTAATTTTGTGTCATGGGACACATGAGAAATGACAAATAGCTCACAGGTAAATGATATAGGATATACCAGTGACAAAGACCTAGTGAGCTGACGTTTGCCCGAAAACATTTCACAATTAAGTCTCAAAATGTAAGAGCCAGGGGACAGGACTACAAGAAGCAAGGCAAGTACAGTACAGAGAGAAGACCTGGAGAAACAGGTGAGTCACCAGCGGAGAGGGTTGGACTGCTGCCTAGGAGTCTGGATCTGATCCTCTGGTAAGAAACACATTAGGAAAACAGTCCGGGAAGGTGGAGAGAGTATATTCAGCCAAGGGCTAGTAGAGCAGTGAACAGCAGACTTCCCCAACAATGTCCTCCAAGAAGGCTCTGGACAGCAAATTACCTATCATCTCAGGAAAGAACCCAAAAGCATACTTTTCTGTTTAAAAAAAAATGGGTGAGGTGCAGTTCATAGGTTCTACACATGCTTAGCATATATGAAGCACAGGTTCAATATCCACACCAAAAAAATGAAAGGAAAAAAAAAAGGAAGGAAGAAAGAAAGATGGTCAACTACTAAGAGAAATGTGTTAGGACAGAGTTCAGTCTACCTGGTCTTCTACCAGGGGAGATCACTGAGTCCAAATGAAAAGGACATGCTAAATGATAGAAAACGCAATTCTTTGCTAAGATGGTTATCTTCTCTTACACAGGTAATGTAAATGATGTAAATGTAAAATGCAAATGTAAAAATAATGCATATATTATGACATATTGTTATATATCAGATTATAATGTATTAAAGTATATATTAAATCTCCTAAAAATAGTGTAAAAAACACTGAGATAAAAATGGCACCAGTAAAAATGTGTAAAATGACAGAGTTGAAAGGAGTCATTTTGTGATCAAAAGCCAAAAGTAGGAAGGGATGAAGGGGAAAAGGAGAAAGAACAGCCAAAGTGCCTGTTCCTGCACTGCAGGGCTGTCTTAAAGGGAAAAAGCCCTCTCCCTGTCATCATAAACTCAGCCTAAAATAAGGGCACAGCCTGGGCAGAGTGCCTCTCTGCCTTCCTCTGGACTTCAGGCCCTCCAGGGGCCTCAAAAGGCATCTCTGTGGAGGGTCAGCAAACTCAATTTGAAAGTAACTAACTCTATAGAGGAGTCTGCTAATAAGGACTTTAATCACACTTCCAAATATAACAGACCTAGCAGCCTGGCAGAACACATGCAGAAGGACACTGTAGTGATGGCTCAACTAGCCTCTTGTTTCAGCCCTACTGGTAAGACCTCTAACTGATTCAAGAGGGGCCTTTAGCTGAGGAGCACCAAGACCCTACCCTTCTAATGGAAAGGGCCTGTAAAGCATACTGCTCTTGCTTTATACCAGGTAGTGCAATCGTTGCCAATGGCTACAAAACAGGCCTCACTGGCTCCAGCTATGCCCCTCTCCTCCTCAGTCTTTCCTCATGTTGGTCCTAAAACTTGATGGCTCATTAAAGCAGCCATGACAGTGATCAAGTGATGTTCACAGACACCGAGCAGTCACATTATCATTTTCAAATGTCATCTCAGAAAGGTTATGGCCTTTCTCCATCCAAGGTGGTGCACTAAGTAAGCAGCAGAGCTAGAATTTGAGCTCAGCACCATGTCCACACTGCCTCTGTTTACACACAGACAGAAGTGTGTGGTATTTCAGGGGTTGAGAGGGCTGAGAGGTCTTCTAGATTGAATGGCATACCCTACCACATCTCTACCTGTGCCCACCTCCAGCCCAGCTCCTCAATTCATATTCTTGCTTAGGCCCTGACATCAGGCTCCTTTGGGTCACCCTGTCTACTCCTCCCTAATGCTTAAACCTCCCCTGAGGTTGCCACCCCATCTTGCAGCATCTCCCAATCCCAGTACACACAGCAGCACACACCTCCCTCTACCTGTCCCTTTGCTCCCCATCCTAAACCTCACCTACAACACTCGTCACGTATGTACATACTCTATTTTTCTACAACTTCTGTCCAGGTGTCCCCTGGACAGTCCTGGGCTGTATTCCCAGTCACAATCCACAGGCTCCTCTGCAGTTCCTTGAACATCTTCCATTACTGATAGACACCATTGCACTAAAGGACTGAGTCACATGGCAGTCACCTCCAGACAAGAAGCCCCTTGAGAGCGCCCCTCTGTCTTATCTATGTCCCTACCCCAACTTATAGCCCAGACCTCAGCATACAGTGTGGCATGGAGGATGTGACCCCAAGTTCCCAAGGAAAAACACCTGGACATTTTCCAGATTGGGTCAAAATCTATATTATAGGCTGGAGCTCAGTGTTAAGTACTTTCTTAACAAGTGCAAGGAACACAAAAATAAACAAATAAACAAAAACCTACCTGTATTCCTGGAGCTTCTCCCCAAGTTTCTATTCCCTTGGAACACACAGAAAATGTCAAATTCCTGCTTCAGGCAAGAGATCATTAAATATATGATCACAATAATTTGAAAGCATGATAGATCTCTTTGGTAGTAATTTTCTTGCAGTCAAGTACTTATAACTCAAATTGTTCTCAAGGTTTTTTAAGTCAGAAAACTGCCAGATTATAAAAATAGTAATAGGTATAAAAATATAACAAAAGTAAAACTTCAAAGCACATCAGTAAATTAGCCCCTGCAGGAGCAGATGTGCTAGAACGGCCTCTTCAAAAGTCCTGTGGACTGTGCTTACAGTCACTCAGCCACTCCCAGGCCAGACTCTTCTGGTCAGCTCTTTCCATCTCTATTCAGTTCCAACCCTCAGTCTCCTCCAACACACTGTCCACAGCTTATCCTATTAAAAACTGAAGTATAAGTTACAATAACACAGCATACAGCTTTATGGGCTAGCTCTTACACCTCCTACACTACTGCTATCCCAGTAATGGAACAAGGACACCAGGTGCACAACAGCCCTCCCTCAAGCCATTCTCAGGCCATTCCCATCCCAAAAGTAATCCTCATTTTGACGTTTATTACTACTATTCAGTTTCAGTTTTCCTTTCTTGAAATTCATATAACTGGAATTACATACTACGTGGACTTCTTCTGATCAACTTCCTACCACTCACAGTCTGGGATGGGTGAAGTGACTCACCCCTTTTTACTTGCCCAGCTTTTTCTCTATCTGTCCTGGAATGCAGCCACCCCTTGTGTATACCTGGCAAGTCTCCAAACTCTGAGGCCTTTCCTAAATGTTCCCAGTGGCCTTAGGGAAAATTCTAAGCTCTTCCTTGAAATTCTAAGCTCCAATGAAAGTCAGTGAGAAAGGACCAAATTCAAGGTCATTAACAGATGCTGAAGCTTGGCTTCTCCGGGGCTTAGGTCTTTTGAAAATCTAGACTATTGTAGACTCTAAAGGAAAGAAAGTGGCTAGCCCAAGTTTAGACAAGAATCTTCATCTTAACTCAGGAAGGAGATGTATGACTGTGCCTGACCCAGAGAATGCATCTCCCTAGGGCACAGGATCCTGGGTTGGGCTCTCTCTTAGCCTGTTCTACCCAGACTGGTTTGCAGGGCTCTTCAGCCTCAGAGGCTCCAGGGTTCTGTTTGCCTCTGAGCAGCCAGCGGCACATGGTTTAGATTTTACATTTACATTAAGAACTTAAGTGTCTGGAGAGCAGGAATTTCTATTCACTTAGTTTGATAGCCCAGCATATGCTTCGCTGAACTTAAGAGCTGTCAACATCTGTAAGATTTACCTACCTCTGGGTTCAATATGGCTTGGCACTAATAGTAGTAGTTGTGGGGCATCTCTAACTCAAAGCACCTGAAGGCAGAAGCCCTATGTTCACTTTTCATCCCACAAAGCATCGGCTTTCTGTTGGTTTTCAGGCCCTTGGATCTGACTGCCATTCCCTGACTCACACTCTTGGTTCTGTTACATACTTGGTCCTCCCACCCTTGCTCTTATGGTCAGGATCCCTCTCCTCACACTTCCAAAGCACAG